AGCCCAGAAATTTTTCTCAAATATGGGGATTGAGTGCATAAATTTATAAACATATAATGGCGATATATTTCAACGCATGGCACATCACCAGAAAAAGTTCGACTTTCAAACATATTTAGCTTTGGTCGGTCGGTTAAGGCGTCTGACTTGAAATCAGATTCTCTATGGCAGCGTAGGTTCGAAACCTACCTACTGCAAACGAAAATTGTTTTGCTTGAAATATATATTTTTTAATTAAAACCTCAGCCAAGAAAATTTTGTCAATTATGGGGATTGAGTGCATAAATTTATAAGAATATAATGCCTTTATATTTCAAATGGCACATCACCAGAAATAGTTCTACTTTCAAACAGATTTAGCCCTGGTCTGTCGGCTAAGGCATCTGACCAGAAATCAGATTCTCCATGGCAGCGTAGGTTCGAAACCTACCTACTGCAAACGGCAATTGTTTTGCTTGAAATATATATTTTTTAATTAACAGCTCAGCCCAGAAACTTTTCTCAAATATGGGGATTGACTACATAAATTAAAAAAAATATAATGGCCTTTCATTTCAACGCATGGCACATCACCAGAAATAGTTCGACTTTCAAACAGATTTAGCCCTGGTCTGTCGGTTAAGGCGTCTGACTAGAAATCAGATTCTCTGTGGCAGTGTAGGTTCGAAATCTACCTGCTGCAAACGACCATTGTTTTGCTTGAAATATAATTTTTGTAATTAGCAGCTCAGCCAAGAAAATTTTGTCAATTATGGGGACTGAGTGCATAAATTTAAAACAATATAATGCCCTTATATTTCAAATGGCACATCACCAGAAATAGTTCTACTTTCAAACAGATTTAGCCCTTGTCTGTCGGTTAAGGCGTCTGAATAGAATTCAGATTCTCTATGGCAGCGTAAGTTCGAAACCTACCTACTGCAAACGGCCATTATTTTGCTTGAAATATATATTTTTTAATTAACAGCTAAGCCCAGAAACTTTTCGCAAATATGGGGATTGACTACATAAATTAAAAAAAATATAATGGCCATATATTTCAACGCATGGCACATCACCAGAAGTAGTTCTACTTTCAAACAGATTTAGCCCTGGTCTGTCGGTTAAGGCGTCTGAATAGAATTCAGATTCTCTATGGCAGCGTAAGTTCGAAACCTACCTACTGCAAACGGCCATTAATTTGCTTGAAATATATATTTTTAATTAACAGCTAAGCCCAGAAACTTTTCGAAAATATGGGGATTGACTACATAAATTAAAAAAAATATAATGGCCTTATATTTCAACGCATGGCACATCACCAGAAGTAGTTCTACTTTCAAACAGATTTAGTCCTGGTCTGTCGGTTAAGGCGTCTGACTAGAAATCAGATTCTCTATGGCAGCGTATGTTCGTAACCTACTTACTGCAAACGGCAATTGTTTTGCTTGAAATATATATTTTTTAATTAACAGCTCAGCCCAGAAACTTTTCTCAAATATGGGGATTGACAACATAAATTTAAAACAATATAATGGCCTTATATTTCAACGCATGACACATCACCAGAAATAGTTCGACTTTCAAACAGATTTAGCCTTGGTCTGTCGGTTAAGGCGTCTGACTAGAAATCAGATTCTCTATCAGCATAGGTTCGCTACTGCAAACGACCATTGTTTTGCTTGAAATATAATTTTCGTAAATAGCAGCTTATCCCAGAAAATTTTGTCAATTATGGGGATTGAGTTCTTAAATTTAAAACAATATAATGCCCTTATATTTCAAATGGCACATCACCAGAAATAGTTCTACTTTCAAACAGATTTAGCCCTGGTCTGTCGGTTAAGGCGTCTGAATAGAATTCAGATTCTCTATGGCAGCGAAAGTTCGAAACCTACCTACTACAAACGGTCATTATTTTGCCTGAAATATATATTTTTTAATTTACAGCTAAGCCCAGAAACTTTTCGCAAATATGGGGATTGATTACATAAATTAAAAAAAAAAAATAATGGCCTTATATTTCAACGCATGGCACATCACCAGAAATAGGTCGACTTTCAAACAGATTTAGCCCTGGTCTGTCGGTTAAGGCGTCTGACTAGAAGTCAGAATCTCTGTGGCAGTGTAGATTCGAAATCTATCTGCTGCAAACCACCATTGTTTTGCTTGTAATATAGTTTTTGTAATTAGCAGCTCAGCCCAGAAAATTTTGTCAATTATGGGGATTGAGTGCATAAATTTAAAACAATATAATGCCCTTATATTTCAAATGGCACATCACCAGAAGTAGTTCTACTTTCAAACAGATTTAGCCCTGGTCTGTCGGTTAAGGCGTCTGAATAGAATTCAGATTCTCTATGGCAGCGTAAGTTCGAAACCTACCTACTGCAAACGGCCATTATTTTGCTTGAAACATATATTTTTTAATTAACAGCTAAGCCCAGAAAATTTTCGCAAATATGGGGATTGACTACATAAATTTAAAACAATATAATGGCCTTATATTTCAACGCATGGCACATCACCAGAAGTAGTTTGACTTTCAAACAGATTTAGCCTTGGTCTGTCGGTTAAGGCGTCTGACTAGAAATCAGATTTTCTATCAGCATAGGTTCGCTACTGCAAACGACCATTGCTTTGCTTGAAATATAATTTTCGTAAATAGCAGCTTATCCCAGAAAATTTTGTCAATTATGGGGATTGAGTTCATAAATTTAAAACAATATAATGCCCTTATATTTCAAATGGCACATCACCGGAAATAGTTCTACTTTCAAACAGATTTACCCCTGGTCTCTCGGTTAAGGCGTCTGACTAGAAATCAGATTCTCTATGGCAGCGTAAGTTCGAAACCTACCTACTGCAAACGGCCATTATTTTGCTTGAAATATATATTTTTTAATTAACAGCTAAGCCCAGAAACTTTTCGCAATTATGGGGATTGACTACATAAATTTAAAAAAATATAATGGCCTTATATTTCAACGCATGGCACATCACCAGAAGTAGTTCTACTTTCAAACAGATTTAGCCCTGGTCTGTCGGTTAAGGCGTCTGAATAGAATTCAGATTCTCTATGGCAGCGTAAGTTCGAAACCTACCTACTGCAAACGGCCATTATTTTGCTTGAGTAGATGTATAGTGCCGATATAAGCAACAAAAACCGTACATAACCTCAATTTCCTAACCCCCCCGCAGCGGGGGCCCCCCGCGCGTGGCGTCCTAGTGTCCCCCCTGTCTACCAGAGTGCGCTCCGCCCCCCACCCAGCTTGTGTAGCGTCCTGTTTTGCACCGGTTCCGCCCGTCGCTGCTAGATGTCGCGCGCTTGTGTCGCCAGCTTGTGTAGCGTCCTGTTTTGCCCCGGTTCCGCCCGTCGCTGCTAGATGTCGCGCGCTCCGACCGTCGTAGGCCCCCCCGGTAGAGGGCGGTGACGGTGCGGCGCGGTGACGCGGTGGATCGGGAGGATAATTAAATAAACTTGAATTTTAATACATTTTATTTTATTTTATTTATAAAATTGGTCTGGCGAGGAGTTTCTTCTTCTTTTTATGTCGATTCAGTCGACCATCCCATTGTTCCTGTTCCTTGCGTTGTTCTTCTTCCCGTTCCCGGAGGAAATCTAAATACGAAGTGCACTCCTCGCCGTCCCACTCCGTCGACCACCCACCCGGGTACTCCTGCTGCTCCTTTGTTTCTTTTGATCCACCGGGTTGCTCCTGCTGCTGGTGATGTTCCCTTGTCGTTTCATGTCGTACCGGGAATTCTAACCCCCGGTACTCTTTGTGTGATTTGAATATGTGACGCCCTAAGCGATGCGCCAACATAATATGCGACTTGTCATACGGACAAACCGCGATTTTTTCTAGAACAAAACAAAGTATGATATGTAGCGTTTCCTATAAAACACACATTTTTTTTTAAACAAAACTTCCAAAAAGGGGGGTTATCAAATAATTTTAAAAATTGTTTTTTAAGTTATACGCGCATACCAAAATTCACGTTTCAATTCACTGTCATTTAAATGTAAGTGTATTATTGTCAAAAGGGCAAACTGCAATTTTTTAGTACAAAAAATAAACAAAAATATGTATATATTTCGCGTTTTCCCCATAAAACGCACATTTTTGAAACAAAACTTTCAGTAATTTTAAAAATTGTTTATTTTTTAAAAGCCAAAATTCCCTATTCACTGTCATTTAAAAGATATTAAAAACGCTCAATTTAATTCGATTATTATTGTCAAAAAGGCAAACTGCAATTTTTTAGTACAAAAAATAAAACATTTTTGAAACAAATTTAAAAATTGTTTATTTTTTAAAAGCCAAAATTCCCTTTTCCATTCACTGTCATTTAAAAGCTATTAAAAACACTCAATTTAAATCGGTTATTATGCAACGTAAAAAAGATGAGTATCATATTTTAAAACAGGTAGAAACTAACCAAAAAAGTGATAACCCAAACTGAAACCCACAAGAAAAGACGCGCACTGTATAAAGGTAATTAAAATATAAAACTTACCAGTTGTAGGGTCGTAGGGAAATGGACATCGCACTTCTGTATTCATTGCACTGAATATAGTCTATAATACACATGCAACGTATTTATACACATGCACTCCCTTCCATGGTTGAATTAAAAGTCGAAAGGTCTTCTACCCACAAGCACCAACGCCGATTTGAATAGACGCGATGTTGTCGCCAGACAACCGTGCAGGTAGAAGTCTCAAGGTCAACACGCTTTCACACGGGAACGCAACCGTTTCGGACGTTGGACGAACGTATGTTGCCGCAAAAGATCAAGGCCAACTTGCTTTCATTTTTTACAATCTCCGTATGGGATGTGGAATTTCAAAACGCGCCGAGTCTAAATGTCAAGTTGTTTTGCTTGTTGAGAATAATAATTAATTGCCCCCTTTATATTTGCTCCGTGGGATTAACGTAATGGGAAAAATTTGTTGCAACGCATGTGGAGGTGTCTTCGTTTGTTAACTTTTAGAAAGTATTCTCGCACCGTATAAATACATCTCATTTTTCTCTGTTTTGTCAGTAGTTGTTTTTGGTATTATTCGTGCAACGTGGAAGCTAACTTAGTGGTTTGGTGTTCGTACAAAAAAGCAGTAAGTACCTTTTTTATTGTCTTATTTTAATTCTTTAACATTTGTTATTATTTTATAAAGTTCCTAAAGATCATCTTAGTACTCTCAACCCGTAACCGCAAATAGAATAGCAGCAATCTTAAGCGTAAGTTTTTTTTATTTTTTTAATTTTGAGATAAAATAATTAATAATAATTTATAGATGGACTTAAGTCAACTGAATCAAACCTGTCTTGCAGAAGGTGATTTTGAGCAGCCGATTGTCAAACTGCATGAATTGCCGATAGGCGTTCCGTTTAAAATTACTAGAGCCAAAATTGTTAATACAAAATTTGGCAATTCCGTGTTGCTGCAATTAGAAAATTCCGTAGTATTTCTTCCTACTCGCGTGACAGAAGCTTTCCGTCCGAGACTAGAACACTTTGCGTCGGGGCAGTACAAACTGGTCTACGAGGGATCCAAAGATATTGGAAAGCCCAACTCTTTAAAGAAATTCAAAATAATTCAAAATTAATCAACATATTATACAGGGTAAGTCTTATTTACTGTTATATATTTAATAAACCACGATGCGCGTAAAGCAGATCATTCATAGAGGGCAAATCTTAATTTTAACCTTACAAAAATTAAAAAAGCATATTTCCGACAAGTTCACTCTTAGAGATAGTGATGTGTGGCTTAGGAGACTAAATAAAAATATTGAATCTTGCAACCAAATCGTTTCTAACGAAAAGGATTTATCTATTGGGTTAAAAAGAAAATTACAAACTACAATTCAACATCTGAAAGCTATTAGAAAAATTATTCTTAATTATCAACATAAGCATTTTGGATTGGGATTACAAAGTAGTAGCCGCGAGACAAACACAAATGAAATGGTTGTATGGGAATCGGTAGCGTCGTGTTTCCAGGGAAGAGTTCAGACTGGTGTCATAATTAATTTACTTCATAAAGATTTAATTCAATTTTTAAACGATTCTCGTCCAATATTTCAACAAAAAATTAGTCAAATTTTAAAGAAATTTTTATTGCTGAAAGTAAATACCACATTTTGCGGTGAATTTATTAAGGCAAAAAATGATGTCCAAGGCGAAGTTGATGTTAAATATCTGAGTACCGGAAATGCTGTAGTTGATTTAGGAACAGAATTGAATGATTGGTTTGTTGAAAATGTGCAAGATAAAATTTTAAATCAAATGTCAGAGTTTCAGGAACGTGATTCCGGGTGGGCTTTAAATAATATTATTTATTTAGAGATTAACATTAATAAATTTGAAATGGGTAACGGGTCATCCTTCGTTGAGTTGCCTAAAGAAATTGCGAATAAAAGGGCTTGTATTAACATTAGAAATGACGATCAAGCGTGTTTTTATTGGTCAGTTGTATGCGGACTCTTTCCAGCACGTTTTCGTCAGTATTTACCCTCTTCATATCCATACTACAAAAGTGTTTTGAAAACTGAAAATTTACAAACACCTATGGAAATGAATAAAATAAGCAAATTTGAAAAAGACAATGATATTTCCATCAATGTTTATATCTTAGAGCTTAATAAAAATGAAAAAACTAGTTTTTATTCCGTGTTACCTGCACGATTAACAAAAGAAAAACGCGAAAAACATTCAAATTTGTTGTTAATACAAAATAAATATTATCCAAAAGTTAATGATTTTGATCCTGATCCGCAAGATAATGATTATGAAGAAATAAAATATCACTATTGTTACATTAAAAATTTGTCTCGATTAGTTTCCTCACAGCTCAGTAAATATAATCACAAGAAATACATTTGCGATAGGTGTTTGAATTATTTCAATAACGAAACTCGTCTACATGACCACGAAACAATATGTTCCAGTTTCAATGAGTATAAAGTGTCTTTTCCCAAATATGATTACGTTGAATTTCGAAACCATATATATAAACAAAGGACTCCGTTTGTAATTTACGCCGATTTTGAGAGTCAATTGAGAAAAGTAAATTTGAAAATTTCAGATAAAACCTCGAAATACCAAAAGCACGAAGCTTACAGTGCTGCATATTACTTTAAATGTTCTTATGATGATTCAATATCATTTTTCAAAAGTTATCGTGGTCTAGATTGTATTGATTGGTTCGTGGAGGAAATATCTAATTTATCAAAATTTGTTCGTTCAAAATTTAAGGATATTATACCAATGGATAGTGAAATTAGTCTAGATCAAAGGTCGAGTCATTGTCATATTTGTGAAAAACCTTTTTTAAAAGAAGATGTTAATGTTCGTGACCATGATCATTTTACTGGTAAATTTAGAGGTTTTGCCCATCAGGCTTGTAATTTAAATTTTAAAAAAATATTTGTAGTGCCCGTAGTATTCCAGAACCTTTCTGGATACGATAGCCACTTCCTGCTTCCGGTTTTAGCAAAAAAAAGCTATGTATCCATAGTTCCGGTTAATAAGGAAAAATACATCTCTTTTACATATTTCGAACCTGATTATAACATAAAATTTAGATTTATAGATTCGTTTAGATTTTTGGGAGCATCTCTGGATAATTTAGTTTCCAGTATGGATAAAAATGAACTATATATTTTAAGAAAAGAATTTTCCGATCTCGACGAATCAAAATTAAATTTACTGTGGCAAAAAGGTATTTTTTGTTACGATTACATCGACCATATAGACAAATTAAATGAAACAACTTTACCCCCGATTGAAGAATTCTATAATAAATTAAGTGAAAGCAATATTAGTGAAGAAAAATATTCCCACGCACAAAGTGTTTGGCAGTCGTTTGAAATAAAAAATTTAGGCGAGTATTCAGATTTGTATTTAAAAACCGACGTTATTCTTCTGGCAGATATATTCGAAAATTTTCGAAAAACTTGTATGGCAACACACGTTTTGGATCCGGCGTGGTATTTCAGTATGCCCGGGTATACATGGGATTGCATGCTTAGATTCACAAAATGTCGTTTAGAACTTTTGCGCGACATTGACCAAATTATGTTTATCGAGCGGGCTATACGAGGTGGAATTTCGGTGTGTGTTGGTAGATATGCGGAGGCCAACAATAAATATATGCCCAACTACGATTCATCCAGGGATGATTCCTATATCATGTACTTTGACGTCAATAACCTCTATGGCAAGGCCATGTGCGAGCCTCTTCCTTACGGAGGATTCGACTGGATGTCTCATCAAGGGATTGATTCATTTAATGTCATGAACATTCCAGATGAATCTTCCCAAGGATATATCCTAGAGGTAGACCTGGAATACCCGCAGAAATTACATGACACACATAGAGATTTTCCATTTTGTGCCGAACATCGAGTGCCCCCCAATTCAAAGTTACCAAAACTAATGACTACTTTGTATAATAAAGAAAAATACGTCATACACTATCGCAATTTAAAACAGGCTCTCAAAAACGGTCTCGTACTAAAGAAAATTCACAAAATATTAAAATTTAACCAATCTCGTTGGTTGAAATGTTATATCGATCATAATAATAAATTAAGAACCCAAGCAAAGACAAAATTTGGTATAAATTTATACAAATTGTTTAATAATGCCGCTTACGGTAAAACAATGGAAAACATTCGCAAGCATCGTATTGTTAAATTTGTTAAAGCGTGGGATGGTCGCTACGGTGCGAAAAATTTAATTTCTAGTCCTAGATTTCACAGTAGAACCATACTTGATAACAATTTGTTGCTTATAGAATTAAAAAAATCGGAACTTTGCTTTAATAAGCCACTTTATATTGGAATGTCCATATTGGATTTGTCGAAAACGACCATGTACGAGTTTCATTATAATTACATGCTTCCAAATTTGGGTCCCGAAAAATGTAAAATTCAATACATGGATACGGACAGTTTCATTTATAATATCAAATGTTATGACGCATATGAAAGCGTTATTAAGGCCGATTTAACAAAATTTGACACGTCTGATTATCCTAATGACAATCCCTATAATATACCGCAAATCAACAAAAAGGTTTTGGGGTTGATGAAGGATGAGACTAATGGCACCATCATTAGTCATCTGGGTTAAGGTCGAAAATGTATACTTTCAAAATTTTAACGGGTTCGGTAGTTAAAAAGTCAAAGGGTATTCAGTACAATATTGTAAAAAATAAAATTTCATTTGATGACTACGTAGAATGCTTAACAAATTTTAGGGAAAAGTACGCCACTCAACGAACCATTCGTTCATACACTCACAATGTATTTAGCATCGAACAAACAAAAGTTGCCTTGAGTCCTTTAGACGATAAACGTTATCTTTTGCCGAATTCATATGAAACGCTTCCGTGGGGACATTATAAAGTGCCGTAATTATTTTTTAATATATTTTTGTTACAGATTATGGTCAAACAACTTACATTAGAAAGCCTTTGTATTATAACAATTTGCGAAAATATTAGGTGTAGTGCTGATTTTTTGCGTGAGTCACCTTTGCCTTGGAAACTAACGATACTAATATTTAAATATTATTCGAAATATAGATGGAGGTACCTTAAACAACTAGCGCTCCAGTCTGATGGCAATTCTTTATTAAATTTAGAATTCATTCTGTTGAATAAGAGATTTGGATCGTCTTACAGAAATAGCATTTTGGCAACTCCAACCATTGATTTTGACGGAGAATCCGCTTACTGTTTATGTATCAGTTATTACAGGATAAAATATTCGGAAATTTTAGTTTGTAAATCTTGTCACTTTATATTTCAAGTAGTTAAAAAATTTAAAAAGAAAAATTTTAGACTTTTATTGGATCACTATCATTTACAGCTGGATATAAATAATTTGAATGATGTATATCACGATAAACAATTTTGGTGTCAAAGCTGCTTTGAAGAAGTTTTGTTCACTGTAGAAACTGAAGATGAATGTAATTTAATGCTTCACAATGAGAGGAAATATGGAAAAAAGTTACGCTTTTCTGATAGTCCATTGAACTATTAATACTGTGGTTTTATTATAACATATGTAACTGTAGATAAGACTTTTATGTATTGATTGTATTCCATTGTATTGCAACAAGAATAAACATGTATATATTTAGACGCTATTTTCTTTTTTACCACCACCACAACACCGCATAATAATTACACAGAAGTTTGTAATTGTATAATTTATTTATTATATACATTATTACTATTTTACAATTTCGTTAAATGCTAAATTATTAAATTGTTCTAGTTTTCTTTTGCACTCTTGAGCTTGCATCCGCGCCACTTGCAAGTCTGTATTAAAAAGCGCAATTTGTGTTTCAATTTCGTTGATATTGCACTCTAATCCCGACAACTGAGACGCCAAGTTTCTTTTTAAATTGAATGCCTCACAAATGACACTTTTTTCTCTACCGTCCGTGAACACTTCGAGCCAATCAGCGGATGACGTTGGAGCTGCAAACGCTTCACTTGTGGTAGTTTTCTTCTTCTTCTTGCGGGATACGACCGACGCACTTTGTTTTCGTTTGGTCGCAGATTTTTTGGTTTGTTGCTCTACAGGAACGAAGCTGGACGGGAGCACTTCTGATGAAGGAAATTGCAACTCGAAATTTTCCAATAAATTATACAATTCGTTGGATGTCACAATTTTCTCTTGAGCCATCATATACACGTATTTATGTCAGAACTTCTAAATCGAGACTAAATTTATTTCAAAACGTCTACGTTGTCTACCCACGAATCGTGCGACTTATCCAATCCCAACCAGCGCACGAGAACCATATTGCCTCGTCTGCGCAACACCTTTTCGACGAGATATAAGTCCGGGTTAACTGTCTTCTGCAATTCTTCTTCATAAAATCCGCCCATTATGGGTTTACCCTGCATATCTTGAAGCAAATACGTTACGGGGTTAGTAACCCGTACTTTAACAATTTTAAACAATTCCGTGGTCCAATTCGGTGTATAACCTTTGTTGAAAACGTGCTTGACTTTGCTGATTCTAACGATGTCGCCGACTTTAAGTTTACGAGGACCGAATATTTTTATGCTACTATACGCGGTTTTCAAAATTCTCTTTTCGTTGCTCTTACTCACATCGATGGGTTTCGTACCCGTCGTTCTATGTTTTGTGTTATTGTATTCATCAACGATAGAGGCGAGCACATCGATCCATTTGTACGTCCCGCGTAAAGAAAAATGTCGAAACAATTTCTCTTTGAGGGTACGTATCACCCGTTCGACAATTGAGGCCTTTTTTATGCTATACGTACTATAGTGGTTAATTTTATGCTTATCCACAAGTTTCAGAAACGTGTCGTTGTAAAATTCTTTACCGAGATCCGTTTGCAAGTTTTGAGGGTGCCGTCCGTCCTTGAGAATTTTGGAAAACGCCTTGGCGACTTCGACCCCGGTTTTGGTTTTCAACGGGCGACACCATACATATTTTGAGAAACAGTCTATCACAACCAGCACGAATTTAAAATTTCTGTTTTGTTTGCTGTAGCAATCTAATTGGGCCAGATCCGCTTGCCACAGGTCATCCATCCCTCGTATTATAGTCCGGCGGCGAGCATAATTTCTGCGTGCCGGCTTGTGCAGTTCTCGAACCAGTTGTACCTTCTCTTTATTCATAATGTGTGTTCGGTTGCGATGGAGGATTTAAAACCCTTTGTTTCAATACCTTCATTATATTCTCATTTTCGTTCGTAAGTCGCTCCATTTTGGTTACAATATCATGAAATTGCTGTGACAAAACGGCGACTTTTGTCATGTGCTTTTCCAAATCTTTCTTTGCGCTCATTTCGCTTAGCTTTTGGTGGAAAACTTCGCGAAACTGCATAATTTCATTTTCGAGTGTAGTGCTACTCATTTTCAGTTGTTCTTCAAGACGCGAGAATTTAGTTTTGTCTTCAATTTGTAATCTTTTCATGTACGCTTCGAGTTTCTGTCCAATAATCTTTCTCAATGCAATTTTTAATAAATTACTTGTCTCATCCACATATTTTTTGTTAGCCACGTCACCGTCATCGCTAGGCGTTTGGACATTGCAAATTTTTAAATTGTTCATATTGACGTTTCCGTCTGGCATATAGTCGAGGGCGCTTCTAATCACAGTATTAGTGAAGGGTCGTTTAGAGCGCAGCGCGCTAGAACGTCCAAACTTGTCCAGACTCATCGTTAAACTAACGTATAAAACCTGATTCTTTTAGCTCTTCAACGATTGAAACTATTTCGTTATCATGAGACGTGTTACCTGCGTGTTTCGACGCGATTAGTAATTTCAGACGCTCTACGAGTTCATTGACGTCGTCCCAGTATACATATTCAGTAGGAGCGTCATTATAACGCATATTATAACCTTGACCGCTGTACGAGTACGAACGCGACTGAGATTTTATTAAGGGTCGGATGACCTTGGTATATTTTGGTACAGTCGATGCGCCTTTCAGACGTCCGATCGCGTCCCTGTGCACCTGGGTAGCCTCCATTATTTTTTTATATTGTGCCAAATCGTCTTTTGTGTATGCTATGGGATCTTTTAAAAACACCAAATTATACAAGCCGTGGGTACCGGAATATCTCTCGCCGTCTACAATAATATCGCCAGATCCTTGATGAAAATCCAGCGATTTATTGCCGAGAAACCATTTGGATGATATTTTGTCGTAAACGGGTCCGTAAACAATATCGGTGTCGGGCGATTTTACCCATAAATTTTGAATATATGAATGGGAAATTTCTGGATATTGTTCCAGGTATGATTGAAGGGATGCGTTGGCCACGCTCGATGTGTCAAACACATCATCTTCCTCCTCATCGATATTTTGCATCTCAACGCTCTTATTGGGATCCGGCGTTTCCTGAATTTCTTCCATAGACAAAAATGATACGTTAACCTTATTTTTTGTTTCTTCGTTCGGTTCCTTTTTGTGTTCCCGCTTGACACCTCGACGTTCAGTTTTTATTTCTGCCGGTGACGGTGATAGCTTTATTTTTGCTATACGTTCTAGCGGCTCGCTGACGGGTTTGAAAAGCTTCCGAATTGACGCATCCTCTTCGCTCTTACCCAATTTTAATGTTAAATACTTCTTTCGAATAGATCTAGACAACTCGTTTACTTTTTTTTTTAGCGCCGCGTCGGCGATGTCGGCGGACGTCGCCTTCATGACTGTTTCTATCGACAATTAAATATCGACTTTTATATATTTGTCGAAACCCTTGCGGTAGCGTCCGTTTTTTACGTCGAAATCTTTGACAATTATCAAACAGCCGTACTTTTCTTTCCAGCACTCGGAACAAATTTGTTTAAACGTGTCGTATGAAACGTCGGGTGAGACATGTTCATCATAAACGTGACGTAAATTCATGTCATCCTGTTTAAACAACGCGACAATATTGCAATTGTCACGTATCAATTGCTTGGGTACCTTGGAGTATGTCTGACAGAGATAAATAGCGTCGATGGCCTTGTGTCGGCACATCGAAAAATACTCGCGAATTTTATCTTGCTTGTCGCACGCCACGTCGTCGAAAATAAACAGAGAATTCTCTTTCGCGTCGCTGGGGTCGATTATCGAGTCTCTTTCACTGTAGGGATAATATCCAACTCCTTTGACATTGCTCAATACGCGAGATAACAGTTGATATTTTGGTTGATACAACGACTTTGAGTAGACGTAAACATTTTCGAAACTTGCCCCGTTGGGGTTAAAGAGTAGCGCTAACATGGTGTTGGTTTTGCCGCAACCGCTAGGTCCGCAAAACACCGCCCTAAATGAATTGGGTAGCAGTTGACCGTGTTTGCTTTTGTTAAAGAAACCATCTCCGCAAACCAAATCTAAATTATCGATGGGGAGCTTGAGTTTCTGCTGCACCACCCGCATGACTACAATGTTTATTCGAGACACCTCGTATATATATATACGACACAAGCAATTTCCTTTAATTAGTATGTTATGCTTCGCGTCCGGAAGTGGTCTCGTTAACACGCTTATTAACAAGTTACCTTTTGAAGTACACATTCCGGGTTACCAGTTTTGCGGTCCCGGTACAAAATTGGAAAAACGCTTGAACCGAGGCGATAGCGGGGTGAATCCTTTGGACGCTGCGTGTAAGGTACACGACATTGCCTATTCGCAAAACAAATCGTTAGACGAACGTCATAAAGCGGATAAAGAATTGGAAACGCGTGCGTGGCAGCGAGTAAAATCTAAAGACGCAAAGTTTGGTGAAAAAGCTGCCGCATTCTTTGTCACCGCGACTATGAAAACTAAACGTAAGCTCGGTATGGGTCAACAACGGCGTCCCTCTGTTTCGTTTCGACAGGGTGTCGTGAAAAAGGTTCGCAATGCATTAAAGAAGAAACAATTGTTTCATATCGATAACCCTAAAATGCTTAGAAGATCGGCACTGGAAGCGCTTCGAGCTGGCAGAGCCGCTGTAAGAAAAGCGGGAGGACGTAAAAAAATTAGGGTACCTAGAATTATACCGTTCGAATCAAAATCGGGCGGTATTTTACCACTTTTACCGTTATTAGGAGCGCTAGGGGCTTTAGGTTCGCTCTCGGGCGGAGCCGCTGCTATCGCTAAAACTGTCATCGATGCGAAAAACGCACGAAAGAAACTCGAAGAGGACAACCGCCATAACCGAGCTATGGAAGAGATTGGAAAAAAGGGATCGGGTCTATTCT